CTGATTGCATTTTGTGTCTGGTTGCTTAAAAATTGTTAAATTTTTTAAAAATCTCTTTGAAAACTTAAATTTCAATAGGTTAAAAAATTGACAGAGACTGTTCAGTGACTGTGATCTTAATTAAGAACAATCCCCGAAAGTTATGACTGTAGAACTAGAAATAAGGTTAAGATGTGTGGTTTTGTTTTCTCTTTTTAGTAAAACTTTATGGTATCATTATATTTAATTGTACGTCTTTGTCCGATATAGAGTTTAAATCTCCAAATAAATAACTAATATAAACAGATTTTTTTCTACTAACATTTTCCAGTTTGTATTTTCTCCATACCTGTACTTTCTTTATATTTCCTAAAATTCTTAATTTAAGTTTTATAGGAAGAAGGAAGCTTTTCTATTTTTCACTGACATACTCTGGTTTATGGCAGATTTATCATAAAGCTATTGAAGCTTAAACTTCAGGGCCCCTCACTCATACAGGCTTCATTTTTTAAAGAGAAGATCCTCAAAATGATAAATGCCTCGTAGCACAAAACCTGCATGGATATGGGGGTGCTCTTGCCCTGTCTGACTCCACCCCCACTCCTGCCACATCATGGCAGGGCCTGTGACTGGTTCCAACCAATAGGTTATGGCAGAGGTGATGGCTGTCACCCCTGTGATTCTGTTACATTACAGAAGACTCCATCTTCCTAGCCAACTCATTCTGGAATCTCTCTCTCCTCTGCTGGGTTTGAAGAAGCAAGCTGCTATGACTCCTTCAGCCACAAGAAAATGAATTCTGTCAACCACTCGGAAGCAGAACCTTTCCCAGTTGAGCCTCCAAATGAGAATTCAACTCCGGCCAACACCTTGATTTCAGCCTTTGAAACCCTAATAGAGCACCTGGTTAAGCTATATCCAGACTCCTGGCCCACAGAGGTGTGCGTTGTTTTAAACCACTAGATTTGTGGCAATTTGTAATGCATCAGAAAGCTAACACAGTCAATCTTATTGCAACAGACGTAATCACTGTTGCTGTACGTTAAGAATTCCTAGCATTCTGTCACATTGTTCTGCAGTGTTTTGAAATTGGTATCTGTGTAAGAAAGAACAATTTAGGTGTAATTGCTGCCAGATAAAGAAAAACAATCTAATCCTTTAATGATTATATTTCTTTAATTTGCTCCCCTCATTTAGTTTTCATAAACCCATGAAGACATAGACTGGTAAATCTTAAGTAGTTAGGTTTTTTTTTTTTTTTAATTTATGAAAATTTTCAAATATACAAAGTGGAGAGAATAATTTAAAAGATATCTATTTTCTCACTACCTGGATTTAACAGATGTTAACGTTTTCATCATTTTTTAAAAAGGAAGTTGTAGTAGGCAGAATTCTAAAATATCCTCCAATGTTCCCTCCCCCTGTTGCATATACCTTGTATGATGTCCTCCCCTCGACTGCAGGCAGAACCCACAAATATGGCGGAATGTCGCTCCTCTGATTACACCATTTTATATCACATTTTTGAGATGTATTTAAGGCCCCTCATTAGTTGACTTTGCGTTAATCAGAAGAGAGATTATACTAGACACACCTGACCTGATCAGATGAGCCTTTAAGAGAGACCAAGAAACAGTAGTGGATGCCATCCTGCTGCCTTTGAAGGGGCAGACTGCCACGTTACAGAGAGGGCCACGTGACGAGGACCTGAAAGTCGACTTCAGGAGCCGAGATCAGGCCAACAGTTGGCAAGAAAATGGGGACTGCAGTCATCCAGCCCGAAGGAGATGAAATCTGCCCCCAAGGCAGGGCAGCGTGGAGGCAGCCCCATCCCCAGCCAAGCCTCTCGATGAGGGCAGAGCCAGCCAGCATCTTGATTTCAGCCCTGTGCGATGCTGAGCAGAGGACCCAGCTAAAGTTAGCGAGACTCCTGACCCGTGGAAATTATGAGATAACAAATTCGTATTGTCTTTTACACCGAGTTTGTGGTAACTTGCGATACAGCAATAGAAAACAAATATGAAAATAAAGCGGTACAGATAGCTAACGCCACTCCCCAACTTTTCCTTTCCCTGTTTTCTTGTTTCAGTTACAATTAGTGTCAGCGAACAACTGTGTTGAAATTGTTGACTATCTTTTCCATTTACGGTTTTACGTTTTTTTCTATGTTGACATTTATCCGTAGTCCACATATTCTGTGACGCTCCTTTCAAAAGGTGGAGCCCTGTTCTTCTCCCTTTAAGCGAGGGCTGGACTTAGCCACTCAGCTCCGACAAATAACATAGTGGAAGGGATAGTTCTCTTTTCTGAAAAATAGAATATGGCGGAAGCGATGTTGTGTGACTTCTAAGACTAAGTCGTAAGAGGCACAGTGGCTTCTCCTCTTACTTTCTCTTTTGGCTCACTCTCGGGACGGAGCCAGCTGTCATGTGAGCCAGGTAAGCAGCCTTTCAGAGAGGTGCAACTGAAGAACAGGAGCCTCCTGCTGACAGCCAGGCAAGCGAGCTCTCGTGGAAAGTGACCCTTCCGCCCCAGTCAAGCCTGAGGATGATCGCGGCACTGACCAGCATTCTGACTGCAACCCCGTGAGAAACTCTGAGCCAGAACCACCTAGCTAGGCTCCTTCTGAATTCCTGACCCATAGAAACTGTGAGATAATAAATATTTATTGTTTTCAACCTTGATAGGTTTTAGGACAGTTACTTAAACATCAATAGATAACTAATACATCCATAAAAATATATGGTATTATTTTGTGTATACAAAAGTTCACATCCAATATTGACCCAAAGAAGCTGGATACAGAAGAATACATACAGACCGTGTGATTCTATCAATACGAAGTAAAAACTAGGCAAAACTGACCCCTGGTCTTAGAAACCAGCGTAGTAGGACCTCTCGTGGGAAAGGGATGAGGTGGGGATATTGGCCCAGGGGTTTCTACGAAGCCCTCAGGGTGCTAGTTTCACTTTTTTTCTTGCTGGCGTGCTGGTTAGAGGGTATATTACCACTTGAAAAGTCATCGAGCCGTATCCCTATGCGTGATCTGTGTACTTTTCTGTATGTATAATATGGTTTAATAAAAGATTGGAAATTTACATTAGTGACGTTTTATGGCGCCCTTCTGTAATCTGTCTTTTCGAGGCTCATTCGTGCCGATGCGTGCCTTTGGGATTCCCTTTGTCACTCTCACGATGGCGTTTTTGTCTAGAATGTGTTCTCTTTTCATCCGCCCACAGCCTTATATTGAGATCCATTTTTCTGAGTCTTCTACAAAGCTCTCAATGTGGCCCCTAGTCCACAGCGATCGCTTTCCTTAGAATTAACACAGCACTTTCTAGCACTGTTACTCATTTGACAGTTTTAATGTATTATCTTCCATTACGAGAACACGTTCGCATAATGAAATAAATTTACTCTGTTACATTATAAACGTCCAGTCAGCAAAAGTCCTATTTTAAACTTTCTAAATGTAAGTATTTCTTGGTATCCTTAGGAAGAGACTGCGTAGTTCTACCCTTAGAAGCCAGCCAGAACTCTTCCTTAACCACTGTCTTGTTACTCCAGCTGAAGATTCTGTCCTCTACTATTGCTTCTTCAAGGCTATACGTTTGTAAAGTGAGGGAGCTAGAAACTTAGCCTCCGTCCTCACTGATGGAGTTTTATCGGGTGGCTATAACAATATATCGCATTGTGCTTACGTAGACCAAATAAACACGATCTTTATTCTGCTCCCTATCTGTTTTCTCATGGTTTTCCTCTGGAAGGCTGTCTCTTGAAAGGTGCAATTTCTTGACCTTGCCCTTGGTACTGTATTCTTAACTCACTGTGAACGTGGAATATAGGCCAGTTTCCTTGTATTACTGAGATAAAGAATTGCTATATTGGATGTGACTGAACACTCATCACGCTAGGAAAGCGTATCACCCTTCAATGTTAAGTACATAATAAGTGTCTGTTTTTAGTATCTATGATTCTTTCATTTCTGAATTAATTTGACTTTTTAGAAAAATTTTCCCCCAACTCTTTGGAGGATCTACATTTCTTAAATTTACTACTTATTCTGAAAAATTATTCTTTTTCAACCTGTCCTAAATTACTTTCATTTCCCAACAGTCTCTATCAAACTTATTAAATTTGCTAAATTGACATCAAGAATGGTTGTATGAATTTATACTTACAGTACGGCATGAGAGAAATACCCTTGCCAGCAACTGACATTTTCCATCTTTTCATGTTTCACCAGTCTGATGGGTGAGAATGGCTTTTTTTGGTCATTTTAATTTGCAATTCCTTGATTACAAATGAGGTTGAACATTTTTTTTTCATATGTTTACTGGCCATTTGTCTTTTCCTATGTATTGTTTTCTCATCTTTCTATTAAAATGTTTATTACAGTTGGGAAGACTTCTTTAAATATTTGGTATTTGAATCCCTAGCTTCTTGTGGAGGTTACAAATACTTTCTTCCAATCTGTTAATTATATTTTAACTTTGTTTATAGTAGCTTTTCTTCTGTATACATTGTTTAGTTGGAGGAAGACAGGTTTTTCTTTTAACATGGCTTTGATTCTCTTTCAGGAAGCCTTCACTAGGCTTATAAACATAGTCTCCCATATTTTCTTCTAATAGCTCTGCAATTTGCTTTTCCCATTTCCTTCTCTAATTCATCTATATATGGATCTCTAATCCATATATAATTATTATCCAGGTAATAATAATTATATAGGTGCATATAGAATTACATATTTTTATAAATGTTTATAAAAATATTTTTAGAACCGATTTCCCACCATGAGTTATGAGCACCTAATCATTCCTTACCGATTTGAAATACTGCGTTTTACACTGACTAGATTTTCTGTTATACGTCGTCATAGGTCCAGACTCTAATCTGTTGGATGGATATTTTTCTTTTCCGGTGCCAACACCACACTATTTTGAGTTCTGTGTTTTCCTATCCGAGTCTGTGATATCATCTTGGCTGGACTACACAGTCTGTGTCATCTCCGTACCCTAAGGGTTACACCTCCCCTTCTCTTTTATACGTGATATTAACTAGCTTTCTTCTCAATTAAGTGTTTTAAATTTATTTGCATGTTTAAGCAACTGACAAGGCCCAGACGAAAGTGAGACAAGTGAGGTGCCTGGGGCACGGAATTTAAGGGGGAACTTACTCTTATGGTCCTGCACTACCTTATCTAATCCCTGATACTGCCTTATACGATATCCCAAGTCTCACTTAATCCTTAGCGAAGGAGTTGTTTTGATTAGCTGGCGTTTACGATTTGTGGAAGACCAGAGATCTCGAGCAACTTCGAAGCGTGGTTGGTTTGCCAGCCTGGCTTTTGGTGTGCTGCTGCTCCCATGATTTGTTTTGTCAAGAAAATAAGTTTAAGGCTGAGAGGACAGCCTGTAGAGCATGGTGAACAAAAGTCAAGAAAAAGAGAATGTTTCAAGAAGGAGAGAACCATCAGCTGCCAAAAGGTCAAGAAAGATTTGATCTGAAAGGTGTCTGTTGGATGGGTATTCTTAGGAAGAACATTTCCATCTTACATAGTCATCCTTCCTTTGACCCTCTTGCCTCCACCCCAGCTTAGGCCTTTATAAGGAAAGCCTTCTGGGTATGAAGCTGATCTGGCTGCGACATCTTCACCCCACTGATCGCCGGGGTTGATTTGGCCGGTCTGGCTGGCTAAGTGAGTGTCCCCTTCCTCTCTCATTGCTACATATGCGTCCCTCCCCAGCTGTGAGCTCGACAGAAGAGGACGACCTTCCTTAACAGAGGAGAGGATCCTTCTTCCGTCAAGGGTATATGAGCACCTGCGTTCCCCTGCTAGAGCCTCTGAAAAGCTCTCAGGAAAAGCCTTCTAACTAGTTTCTGTTCTAGTGTCTATTCTTGCTAACTACCTGTATAATTGTAGAGTTAGGTCTTTTGCAATCTTTCTTAAATGACAAAATATTATTCCTTATTTCCAGCCTCAGTTAAAATGGAAATTTAAGCTGTATTTCCTCCTTCAACTATATAGTCTGTAAACTTTAAGCGTCAGTTACCATTCAAAATTTTTCTCTATGTAAAGATTTGGAATATTATACATTATCCTTAAGTGATGCCCGTATTCACACTTACTTTGGATCTTTTTTTTTTTAATGTTCTAAACCAGAATCAAATGATGACGATGTGGTAAGATATATCATTCAACTAAGAGAAAAGCTCGGTTGGCAAACAGTATTACCACACCATAATTTGGAATACAGAAGTCCCCAAACTGGAGTTCGGAAGATTATTCTAAAGGTATTATGCATTTTATTCAGTTGTATACTATAAAAATTAATATTTGAAACTGTCTTACTCTATTTCATTCATTTCAGATATTAGATAAAAATCAGACATTATTACACTGATATCAGATTACGGTCTTGTTTCACGGTAAATGCTATGAGAAAGAAGTGTTTGACATTTCATTTCGCTTATTTAAAGAATGGAGAACAGACAAAACAAGACATCTGCCTGAAATTTAAATCTACTCTTATATTCATGTTTATCAGGTTTTTTTTGTGTGATTTAAAGAGAAATCCTGATGTACTTCTGTAACATTCTGCCATTCTTCCTCTCCTACCCCCTGGTACTTGACTTTCTGTATCATCTCTGTATTTCCTCACCCTTCCCATTTTCTCCTTACCTATTAGCCTCTTCAGAAAAATTTTGTCTTGTCCAAGGTCAAATGACCATAGGGTACAACCTGTGATAAGAACTAAGGTCTTCCTCCTGTGACCTCATTTATTACAGGTGATCTAAGATTGAGCAGGACCCTCTCTTCCTACTCTTAGATCAGAGATTCTCAAAGTGCAGTTCCCAGGTAAGCAGCCTCAGCATCACCTTGGAACTTGTTAAAATACCCGTTTCATCTCCACCTCAGATCTTCTGGATCAGAAGTTCCAGGAATGGAGCCCAGCAATCTGCATTTTATTAAGCTTTCAAGGTGATTCTGATGCACAGTTGAGAACCGTTGCTCTAGACCAGGGATCAGCAAACTTTTTCTTAAAAGGGCCAGGTAATAAATATTTGAAGCTTTGCAGGCTATATGATCTCTATTGCAATCCCTCAACTCTGTCATTGCAGTGCAAAAGCAGCAATAGACAATAAATAATACATAAACAAGGGTGGCTGTGTTTCAGTAAACTTTATTTATAAAAATAGGCACCTGGTCCTGGCCAGAGTTTGCTGGTCCCTGCTTTGTTACCGTGAGGATAAATGGTCTCTTGATTATTATTCAAAGGTGGCATTAATGTAAGGGAAAGTACATGCCTAATAGAATCAGATTCACGTAGTTTTGAATCTCTATGAATACTTTTACTGTGTTATTTTGGTCAAGTTCCTAACTTCTCTGAGCTTTAGTTTCTTTGACCTTGAAATAGAGATCATAGTACTTACCTTAGAGAGCTGTGAGAATTAGATGAGATAATGCATGTGATATGGTGCCCGGTGGACGATTTGTGGAGAAAGAATTGAGAATGTGGAAAACATCTCTTTTTAATTGAAAAGAATAATTTAATTGGAATATATTCTTATGCCTCTATAATTAGATTAGTTAATTATATATATATAGATATATTATATCTATCTATCTATCTATCTATCTATCTATCTATCTATATATAAAATCCATTTAGAATGTATCTATATTTCTAGTGACCTTGACTTTTTGGAAAAATAATTGAGAACAAAAATGCCTCAAATGGCCAATAACTAAGAAAGCCCACGTACTGTAGAAGTCATCACTCAGAACTTATTTATTTCATTTTGTTTGCAGTTTTTAAACTTGTTTTTTAAGGTTTCTAGGTACACACTGTATCAGAAGTCAAAATAAGAAAGTAAAACAGCTGAGCCAATCGAGAAGAAACAATAACAGTCTTCAAGGAAGACACATTTTTTTTTTAGAAAAAATAAAACTGGATGCAAAATTTAAAATAATAGCGATTGGAAACTGTTGTTACTCAATTCAACGGCTTCTGAAGGCATCACTGAATTACAGTGAAAGAATACGAAATGCTCTTTTATATTAAAATTTAATTATCCAGAAAAAGACTAAATTAAATTTCCTTGTGGAGTTTTTATCAATAAAAGTTAAAAGTTTCAAAGCTAAAAAATAAATTACACTTAAATTTTTTTCTGAATGCGGAATGTCTGATTTATGGGTAATGCCAGGTAAAGAGGAAGAGGCATTATAGTATATCACTAAAGAACATGAGTCTAGGGTAAGACTGTATTCCAATCCCTGCTCTGCCACTTCACTTTGTGACTTTTCTCAAATTATCTAACTCTTCAAAATATTAATTTCTGCATCTGTTTACTGATATTAAGAGAGTTAAATTTCAATCCCTTACATTTAAGGGGTTAAATTTAAGATATTAAACATTATTACTTAAATATTAGCTATTGTTTATTATACTAAACCAAAACCATTATTAAAGTAAATGATAAATTTAATCTGCTCAAAAGTTTTCTGGTGTCAGCAGACCAAAGACATATTTACCTGAAGCGTAGCATGTGTGTAAAAAGCATTCAAGTTCTTGGGGTTAATAAGTGTGTGTTAAGCGTATAGATCAATTTTCGTGAATGTTTTATCGCCACATTATATATAAGAATTAAAATTAAATGTATCAAATCTTTCTCAAGATTAGTTTTACTGAACTTCGATTAGATACAATTTAATGTTAGCCTTCCTCAATGATATTATTCTTATTTTTAATCTATATTAATATTGCTTCAATTTATTGCTTCAATATTGCTAAGTGATCTGTTCAGTCATTTTGCTACTTAATTTGGTCAAGTAAATTAAAAAATATTTTTTTAACCTAAGGAACCTTTGAAAGATGATGGAGAATTTATATATTGCCTTCCTCGGAAAACGTCTAAAGTTCTTTATAATCCATATAATCTTCGGGTGGTCTCGGACCACAGAGTTAGACATAGCAAAGAATTTTGGATTATTACTGCTTCATTTATCTCAAAGGTAATATACAATGGGTGTTTTTAGCTTTCAGGAATATAATGGAAAAATATTACCCAATATAGAATTTAATTGGGTAAATTTATCTTTGTGCATTTCAGACAAGCCTGGTCATTTGAGGAACAGTGTATGTTTAAAAACCTCATTGGGAGAAAGTTATATAATAGTGACTTTTTTTTTTTCCTTTTTTATAGAGATTTAGCTTTGAGGATTCGATTGTAAGATTTTTTTTTTTTTACCTCTTAAATACTTATTTTGTGTAATTTTTTCACAGAAAGATCTAGGAAACAGGCCTTTGCTGACCTAACAGGAATTGTAATAAAAACAGAAAAATGTTTTCTCAGATTGTCAGAAATTGCATTGACAGTGTACGAATCCCCCTAATTATACTCTTACATAGCACTTTGATACTTATCACAAGTTATAATTATACAATGACTTGTTTTAATCATTTGTTTACTGTCTGTCTGCCATCCTCTGCCCTCCCAGCCTCCCAGCTAAACTCTATGTACAAATGGGCAGGCCCACATCTCAGTGAAGCACAGCGGTAAGGGCAGATATGGAAATATCTCTAATATGCATCGTCAGCTGAAAATGGAAGAAACAACTTCTATATAAACAAAAATATGCACATAAACACATATGCACTGATATAGGCATACTTTTGTGCTTTATATTTGCAGGTTACCAAAGTAGATGGTGCAGAAGAAATAGAACTCATTCCTGTTTTGGAATGGCTATTAGAAAGAAGATATTACAATTTATTACAGCAGTTCAAGTTCTTTTCCAATTTTCGGTGAGATGAATGAAACTGAAACATTATTTGTGGTATGATTCTTTTGAAAAAGCAATTAGCTGGATGACATCTGGGTTCTTCGACAGTCATGCCATATTTATGTGGAATTATAGAGGAAATAGGATAGTCTATAAAAATTTTTTTGATAAAGGAAGCTTACTCATATAAGTATTACAACTCAATCTTTTTGGATAAATATCGTAAGAAAAAAAGATGTTTTTAAGTCAAGCGAACTCAAATGGACCATAATGACTTTAACTTACCTTTTATTTTTCATGCATTTATTTGTTAAACAAATATTTATTGAGAGTCTGCTATGAACCAGGTGTTATTCTAGATGCTGTCGAACAAACCAAGCAATTGTCCTCCTCGCAAAGAAGTCGAGATTATAGTGGGTGAGAGATGATTAGAAAATACACATATGTGCAAAATGTCAGATGAAGATGAAATGTTATAAAAGGAAACAAAATGATTAGGGAGCTTGGGGCTCATTTAAAAATTTGTCTCGTTCTAAGTTTGCATTATATCACATCACATCATAATTTCCAAGACTCTTCCGTCTTTACCCAAGTAGTCCCAGACGGTTGTTCTTTGAGTGTTTGCATCTAGTTTTATAATTTTTTTGTTTCCTCTCTAAAGTCTGTCTTTCCTTGTGGTCTGCTGCTATCTGCTGGGGACTAGGCAAAGAGAAATTTTTAAAATCGTTACGTTTAATATTGTAAATAGTTGAAATAACAGAACCAGGGATTTTATGACAAAGAAGGTATTTACTTTCTGTTGTGTACCTGTCCTGTTCCAGTGTTATGGACCCTGGAGATACAATGATGCAAAAAATACACAAGGTTTCTGTACCTATAGATCATATATTCTATGGAGGGAGATAGGTAATAAGTAAATAAATAATTTTGGGTAGTGATAAAGGCCAGAATGCTAATAAAACAAAAATGTGAGTGTGTTTCTACTTTCAGAGCAGAGGTATTTACGCAGACCTGAAGGATAAAAAGATGCATCCATGTGGGGTCTTAAGGTAGAACAGTTCCAAACAGAAAATAGCGCAAGTTGAAAAGTTTCGGGGCAGGAACAAGTTTAGTGTGTATTCGAAAGTAGAAATGATGTGACTGCAATTTCGAAGAGGTTGGTAGGAAGCGAAGCTGGTTATCGTCGAGAACCTGTCACGTGCAGTATAGATGATTGAGTAACAATTCTGAGAAGTTTCTTTTGCAGAATATATACATGATATATATTATAACATAACATATGGGATACAGATTACATATATATAATACATATTATATATT